GGTTAGTGAAGACAGGTTGACCGGTGAGTTATAACGTCTCTGTCACCGGTCGACCGGTTGTAACGTAAAATGCATGATGACATGGCAAAATTGACTCTGGATGCGATTAGAACTTTGGGAAACCTAATTGTTACGGAAGTATGACTTCCTAAACACTATAAATAGCCTATTAAGTCACATTACTCATGAGATCACTTGAGAGACTTTTTGGAGGCTATTGATAAAAGATTCCTGAGAGGAAAAATTGTTTAATTCTCAAGAATAATTTTTTATTTGGCTCTCTTATGATTGGAAGGAGATCAAGAATACCTAGAGGAGATTAAACGACGTGTGCCCACCCGCACACCGATTGTGGAAACGAGAATAGCAAAGAAGACCAGTTGGTTGAGGCTCTTCCGGTTGCTATTTGGAACGCTTAGATCTGTCAGACGTGTAGTTTCCTGAAATCTCAAAAGGTATGTTTTAGATCTTTAGTATTTATGTTATATAGCATCATGAACATGTTCTTGTTTGGCTTTGACGTTGATTAAAATTTTTAAATTCCGTTGCGCACTCGATGCCATTAATTTTCCAACAACATCGACATTCTGGAAGAAGTTACAAGAAGGCCTTGGGACAAGATTGAAGTTCAGTACCGCGATGCATCCTCAGATAGACGGTCAAACGGAACGTACTAATCAGACCTTGGAAGACATGTTAAGAGCTTGCGTGTTAGACTTCCAGGGATCGTGGAGTAGATATCTTCCTCTGATTGAGTTTTCTTATAATAACAGCTACCAGGAGTCTATCAAAGCTGCTCCGTATGAAGTTTTGTATGGTCGTAGATGTCGTTCACCGATACACTAGCATGAAGCAGGAGAGCGCGGATATTTTGGTCCAGAACTTGTGGACCAAGCCAATGAAGTTATCAAGAAAATCAAAGAAAGATTGAAAGTCTCTCAAGATCGACAAAAGAAGTATGTGGATAGAAGACAATGACCACTGGAATTTGGAATATGCGACAAGGTATTTCTGAAAGTTGCACCAGTTCGAGGAGTAATGAGATTTGGAAAGAAGGGTAAATTAAGCCCTAGGTACATTGAGCCCTTTGAGATTATTAAGCGCATAGGAGAAGCTGCATATAGACTAGCCCTTCCACCGAGGCTGTCTGGAGTGCATGATGTGTTCCATGTGTCCATGCTATGGAAATATTTGTGGGAACCATCTCATGTGTTGAGTTATGAAACGATAGGCGTGGATCCAGAACTATCTTATCAAGAACAACCTATAAAAATTCTGGACAGAAAAAAGAAGGAATTGCAGAACAAGACCATCCCACTTGTGAAGGTCCTTTGGAGAAATCATACAGTCGAAGAAGCAACTTGGGAGTTAGAAGAGGATATGAGAAAGAACTTCCCGGTTCTGTTTTAAGTTTCGAGGACGAAACTTTTATATGTTATAGGGAATTGTAACGTCCCGATTTTCGGGCTTAAACTTTTGTATTAATTTTGTATGAAGGAATTGTAAGAGAAATGACAAAGGAATTTAAGGATTAAATTGCAAGGCTTTGGGGGGCAAGATTGTAAGAATTTTCGTATTTAGGGGTCATATTGCAGTATTAGGAAACAAAAATTAAAACACCATAGTTTTCACATAAGTGACAAGTGAAGGTTAGTTATTGTGGCACACCCTTAGGATTAATAGTAAGAAAGGCTTGGAAGGAGATGGTATAAAAGGGATGTCACAAAACCTGAACCGGTTTTGAAACAGTCCTGTTTCTGGATAGCTTCCACAAATGAACCTCAAACCACCACTTTCCTATGGAATTTGATTATACCCTTTTATGGAGATCCTCCGGACATATAAGAGACCATGTGGTTCAAATATTATAGTCAAATTCAAAGGAAAACCCCCTGAACAGAACGAAACAGTACTGAATACCTAAACAGTGGCTTACCTTAGCCCTGTTTGAGTTTTCTTGCAATTAAGCACCCAAAACTTACTAAACCACCAAAGATTTCTCTTATCCTCACTTGAGCCTTAATGGAAATGGAGTTTTCAGAGGTTGGAGAGTCGGACTTAGAGTTTTTAGGGCTGATAGCTTGAGCTACTTGCTTAACAAACTTTTTAAACAACCTAGCAACCACCTTAAGTACTTCACCATGAAGTACTCTCACCTAAGCTGCCCTTGTGTCAAATTTCTAGTAGCTAACTTATTTCTTTCAAGTGTAAAACACTTATAAAAAAGCCCAAGTACACCTTAAGTCATAACCTATCATTTTTCTTACCAAATCAAGCGTATGTACTCGTACCGATTTCTTGTATGTTATCATCTACAAATCTTAAATCATTCATAATCAAAACTTTACACCAATATTTTTAAAACCTTCCATGCATTATAAAACATGCCTTAATGAACTTCTAAAGCAACAATATCCGCCAAAAGCCCTAATCTAGGCTCGAAAGCCCAAACGTTGAAAATTGTGTCAAATTAGGATTTCTAAAGTAGTCTCACCCTATAATTCATGTGAAACTCACATCAACCATTCGTAATCAATCTTACCCACTTATATACTCATTATATAATGTCCCTTACTATATTATGGTCTATTCACCCAATAAAACGCATACTAAACCTTCCTGTTACATCTAAAGTTGACCGTTTTTACTCAGTTTTTTGTACTTTTAAAATATTTGAGCTCCATTACCTATCAAGTTTTATATGAAATCATCCTTAAACTTCTTTTCCTTCATTCCCACTTACCTGATTCACCTTGAAGGAAACCTATAACTTATGAATACAATATACACATTTAACACTAAATGCACATTATCAACCTGATCATGCACCTTGATGACATATCAAACATATGCATATAAATATAAAATCATGCAATGTATTGGCCAACTAGTATGTGAGAAATCTGGGCATCACATCTTATCAGCAGGTTTATGAGCAAACAAGGGAGAACACATTGGTAGACATCAAAATGGCTTTCGAGATATCTCAAAGGGACTTCATGTTTGAGACTGGTTTATACCAGGAATGAAGATGAAGATGAAGATTCAACTTACAAAGTGGTTGGATATTGTGATTCGGATTTTGCCGGAGATCTTGATAAAAGAAGATCACTATTTGGTTATGTGTTTACTTTAGGAAGCAAAACTGTGAGCTGGAAATCCAGCCAGCAACATGTGGTTGCATTATCATCAACTGAAGCCGAGTATATTACATTTGACAAATGCTGTAAAGGAAGCTTTATGGTCGAAAGGTTTTGTCAGTGAACTTGGGATTAGTCCAAGGCTCTATGGTTATAAATTGTGATTCACAAAGTGCAATACACTAAACTAAAAACAGTGTATTTCATTAAAAGGACTTAAGCATATCGATGTGAGGCTACATTTTGTAAGAGACATCATTTCTAGAAGGCTTCTACAGACATTACTCCCGCTGATATGCTCACTAAAGTAATTCCAGTTAGCAAGTTCACGGAAGCTTTGAACTTGCTAAGGCTTCTTCTGACGTAGTTGACTGGAGTACAAGTGTCTCAAGTTGATTGGTTAAGGCAGTTTAAGTTGGTCTATAACCATTGTGCTAAGACTGCAGCTTAGAGTAGGTGGTGGAACTAATTAAAAGACCTGTCAAGACCTGATTGGTACAAGTTGTGTATAAATAGATGTCTTAGCTAATTGTTTAATTAATTAGCGTTTTCGTAATCTTTCTGAGATAAAAGTTTACAGATAGGTGAAATTCTGGGTTTTGTACTGGGGTTTTGGGAAGTGAATGTTTCCTGAGAATTGGTGAGAAACTGAGAGTTGCTTCTTGTTGTACAAAGCTGCTTATGTTCTGAGAGATTGAGTGTAAAAGACACCAAGATAGTGGATTCAGACTAGGGAAGAAATTCCCTGCCTTGGACGTAGAATTTTAAATCTGAACCAAGTAAAATCGTCATCTTTAATTTTCTTTCTTGTTTTTGTAACTTCTTCTTTTTGTTCAGTTTCTGGCTGTTTCTGTTTGTTGAAATTGCAGGTTATATAGTATACTTAATATTAAAAATCCTTCTGTAAGCTTCGAGGACCTATTGTCAATAACATATGTTAATTAGACTACAAAAATCAAGAACATTCCGTTTGTTGGCATTTATAACAAAAGGAAAGAGAGAGAGAGAGAGAGAGAGAGAGAGAGAGAAGAAAAGGGAGAGAGAGAGATTGAGAGCGAAGGTGGACGTGTGAGAAAGCGGTTGACGAGGAAAAAAGAGAGAGTTTAATGTGGTATTGTGAGAAAGTATTAAAGAAAGGATCGTAAATGTTTAAAACTTAAAATTTGGACGGAATAGATTATGTCACGTTTATCACTATTTAAATAAAAGTAACATAAATATTTCAATCGTTTTTATGGTTGGATTAACTGATCGAGATCTTTCAAGTTGAATTTTTTTTTTTTTTTTTTTTTTTTTTTTTTTGGAAATGATCGTTTAAGTTGAATTTGAGTATTGTCGAAATTTTAAATTTATATTTTAAACACGACTTTTTTTAGTTTTAGATATAAGTGTTGATTGTTATAAATAAAGAGACCGCATAAGTAACAAACAAGCTCATTGAAAGGTTTTTACGGACCAAACCAAGTTTTTAATTTAGAAAGTTTCCAAATAAATAAAAAAGTTTGTTTCCGAATAAAAATATCCGCTTAAAAAGATGACATCAAAACATAATAGTGTCCTTTAAACAAAAGGCGCACTTTGGCAGAATAATGCAAAGTTTAGGGGCAAATTGCATTTAAAATAAAAAAAGCACGATGTTTGTCAGTACACCGACCCAAGCAAACCTTGCACAGATATATTTGTCCAAGCGCTGAAGAACATTACTGAAGATTCAAATCGAAAATTCCCAAAATTCTTGGAACTGGAAGCCCTAACAGACTACGAATTGTCTTCTTCGATTCTCTTCAATGGCGAAGAACCAACCGCCACCAATCTCCGTCAAGGACACGGTGTACAGGCTCCAGCTCTCCCTCCTCCAAGGCCTTCACGGCGAGGACCAGCTCTTCGCCGCCGGCTCAATCATGTCCCGCTCCGACTACAACGACGTCGTTACGGAGCGATCCATCGCCAACCTCTGCGGCTACCCCCTCTGCCCTAATCCCCTCCCCTCCGACCGCCCCCGCAAGGGCCGGTACCGGATTTCGCTCAAGGAGCACAAGGTCTACGACCTCCACGAGACCTACATGTACTGTTCCTCGGATTGCGTAATCAATTCGAGAACTTTCGCGGCGAGTTTGAAGGACGAGAGGTGTGCGGTTCTCGATTCGGCGAGGATCGACGCGGTTCTTAGGATGTTTGAGGATTATTCGGGATTGGAACGGGAATTGGGGTTCGGAAAGGACAGGGATTTGGGATTTTCGAAGCTGAAGATTGAGGAGAAGACGGAGAATTGCGTTGGGGACGTGAGTTTGGAGCAGTGGGCTGGTCCGTCCAATGCGATTGAAGGTTATGTGCTGCAGAGAGAGCGGAAGCCCAAGGAATTAGGTTCGAAGAGTCCGAAGCGAGGTATTTTTATATTTAAAATATCGCATTTTATGTGAGTTTAGTGCAGCTCAACTACATATTCTGTTGGTTTTGTTTGGTTGCTGAGAAAATGGAATTGAATGGAATGGAAGACTTTCTTTTTTTAGTAGTCTCGTGGTTTTTTTTTTTTTTTTTTTGTTCTTGGTATGTGGCTATGAGAGTGAGATAGGATTGTGTATTGCAGGGTCAAAAGCTAACAATACAGTTCTTATCAATGACATGGATTTCGTGAGTACCATTATCACTGAAGATGAATATACTGTGTCGAAAACACCATCGAGTTTAAAAAAGACTGGTCTTGATTCTAAGGTAAGAGAACAAGAAGAAATTTTGGCTAAAAAAGCTATGGGGAATGAGTTCGCTGTATTGGAAACATCATATGCTCCCGCGAGTAATGTCTCGAGAGTCGGGCTTGTCTTTGAAGACGTGACTTCTTCCCTACGTGCGGGTTCGTGTTTAAGCTCTGCAAGAGCAGAAGAGGAATCCCATGATGATAAGGCGGAGAAATGTACTGAAGCATCCATTAAATCCTCTCTTAAACCTTCTAGGAAAAAGAAACTGAGTCGCACTGTTACCTGGGCTGATGAGAAAACCGACAGTTCTGGGGGAAGAAAGCTTTGCGAGATTAGAGAAATCGAAGATATGAAAGAAGACCCCTCTGTGGTAGAGAATAAGAACGGAGTGTCCTTTACATCTTCAGGGAAAATGAAAGCTGGTCAATCCGTTATCTGGGCAGATGAAAAAGGTGATAGCAGCAAGAGTATAGATGTTTGTGAGGTTAGAGAAATAGAAGATGCAAAAGAAGCTGCTGATATGCTGTGCAATGCGGACACGGGAGAAAATGATGATACGTTTCGCTTTGCATCAGCGGAGGCATGTGCAAGAGCATTGGATGAGGCATCCGAAGCTGTTGCTTCAGAAGAACTTGAAGTTAATGATGCCAGTACGTAATTGTATGGTTTAAGTATGCTTTTTGTGGGTTATGTAGTTTTTGTGTCTCATGACTCAAATATACTATTTGTGTGTGTTCCTTGAACTGCTATGCAGTGTCTGAAGCTGGAATAATTATATTGCCGCGTCCAGAGAATGGGGATGAAGGAGAGCCTATGGAGGAGGATGATGATGATGAGACATCTGAACCAGAACAAGCTCCGATCAAATGGCCAAAAAAGCCTGGATCTCAACATTCTGATCTGTTTGACCCTGAAGATTCTTGGTTTGATGCACCACCGGAGGATTTTAGTTTAACTGTAATTTCTATAGTAACATTATCATACTATTTTATATTTTGCTACTATGGTCCCATGATTTTCGTTATATTCTTTCTCTTATGCCTTTCAACTACCGCCTTTCAGTTATCCCCTTTTGCAAAAATGTGGAATGCACTCTTTACATGGACGACGTCATCGACTTTGGCTTATATATATGGGAGGGATGAAAGCCTTCATGAAGAGTATGCAGTGGTTAACGGGAGGGAGTATCCAGAGAAGATTGTCTTCGGAGATGGTCGTTCTTCTGAAATCAAGCAAACTCTGGCTGGTTCTCTTGCTCGGGCTTTACCTGGACTTGTAGCTGATCTCAGGCTGTCAACACCAATATCTAGTTTGGAGCAAGGAATGGTATTGATGTAAAAACCTTTCCATTTTATTTCAACTTAATGGATTTAACCTTATCCGATTTGTGCCTTACGTTTGAATTATCACTCAGAAGTTAGATGCTTTACTTTGATAGACCATTGTTTTAGGCTTTGCCAAACCATGAAAGTGAAGATATGTTTGTTCTGGCTTCTTGTATTTACTTATCTGTGAACAAGAATTTTGGACCGTTTGGTTAAGAGTTTTAAAAGAATTTAGAGCTTGCTGTGGACGCTTATGCTAGGTGTTTGTTTCTTTCTTTCTTTCTTTGCTTTTTTTTTTTTTTTTAGTGGGATTATTTATGATTGATGGACTCTGACGGTAAAGTCTATTTACAGGGACGTTTGTTGGACACAATGTCATTTGTTGACGCACTACCGCCATTCAGAATGAAACAGTGGCAAGTAATTATCCTTCTGTTTCTTGAGGCTCTCTCAGTTTATAGACTCCCTGCGCTTACCCCACACATGATGTATAGAAGGGTATTGTTTCACAAGGTGAGACCCCAAGAATTAAAGGCTATCTTTGTATTGTTGAATTACTTGTGTATTTCATTCGTTAACCTCGCTAAGATTGAATCTCGATTTCATTGTATTGGTTGCTCTCTTCCATTTTAGAATTTTATGTTAAGCTCGTTCTAATGGATGGTGTTGAATAAGTAGGTGCTGGATAGTGCTCAAATAAGTGCAGAAGAGTACGAGGTCATGAAGGATCTGGTGATCCCGCTGGGCCGAACACCGCATTTCTCAGCTCAAAGTGGAGCTTAATGGAAGTTTTTATCAACTTCAACAAAACCGTCACGTCTTATCTTTCCCACTGATCCTTAGTTTGGAAGCTCTGGTTGTGATTTGTGGGATCCAACTTTCAAATAAGTAAAAGTTGAGTTAAAATTTGAATGGAAATTGTAAGTGCTTTATGAGTTTTTGTCTTGGAAGAAGAAAATTTTGACGGTCCGCAAAATGCGGAAGTGAGGTATCAAAGATATTACAGAATCCCCAATGACATTATGTACAAAAGTTTTTGACGGCCAAAGGTTTATGAAAATTTTGGCATCAATGTTGTGGTTTCTTTACTACGGTTCCAATGATAATGTGGCTTTGAATGCCTAAAGGATAAGAATGACTTGAGGATATATTATTGAGGCTTAAATCATTTTCATTTGCATTAAATTTGACTGTCAATCATCGAGAGGCACCTTTTTCAGACAGTCGCACAGCTGGTTTCATTAGACCCTAGTTGTATTTGTTATCCTCCTCTTTAAACTTTAATAGCAATGTTCTTTCATTTTTTTTAATTTAAGTAGTGGGGTTGGAGAGCCCCATTTGTTGTATAACATGAGTTTATTTGCCCTAATATTCGCGACTGAAATTCTTCAAGCACGTTTAGTTTGTTGAATTAAGTTTTTAATTCGAGTTGAGATGTTATTTTATGTGAATTTTTTACTATAGTAAAAAAGTTAAATGTGACTCTTTTTTAGAGCTTTTTATTGTAGTAAAATTTGAATCTGTGAATTAAACAGAATCTGAGTTTTTTTTTTTTTTTTAGATTTTCCCTAGTCTTTTTTTTAAGAACATTGATATTTTTTACTTATCAACGGTGAATTTATATTAAATTTGAACAGGATCTGAGTTTTTTTTTTTTTTTTAGATTTTCCCTAGTCTTTTTTCTAAGAACATTGATATTTTTTACTTATCAACGGTGAATTTATATTAAATTTAATTAAAAATTAAATTAAATTAAAAAAATAATAATACAAATTTAATGACATCAATATTTTAAAAAAAAAAAACTAATAATTGTTCACGGGAATTTTTTTTATAAACACAAAAAGGCGGCCTCACAAGTGGGGTCTACTTTTGCGTCTAATAGAGATACATGCTCATGAGGATAAATAGGGCTGTTCTTTTATCTATTGGATTGGTACAAGTAGGTTGTACTTGTCTTCCGTTTGGATTTGTTTTCAGGCGTCTGCCTAATGTATACTTAACAGCCCCATGAGTTTTGTAGATGTTGGGGACCATCAACCACATGTACCTTACGGATGTATTGCAGGGGTATAATATAATAGTAAGTTCACTGTATTGCAGGGGTATAATATAATAGTAAGTTCACTGCATGGGGGATTGGGGATTAAAGGCCTAACAAAGGCTTAATTTTAAGGGTCCATTTAGTTTGATTGATTCGAATTTTTTATTTTAATTGATATGTGACTTTATGGGAGAACTTTTTACTGCAGTAAAAAAATTAAATGTGACTATTTTTGAGAGTTTTTTACTGCAGCAAAACTCGAATATGTGAAATGAACGAGGCATAAACTTCAAGACTGGAAATTGTAGGAAATAGGGGTACATTCAAGATTTATAAAAGTAAATGGCTAATTTACTAATGTATAAAAATTAATAGACCATTTCACATTTTAATTTTCTAATTTTACCCTTTTCTTGTTATTTTTTCCCCTTTTCTTTGGTAAATTCAGGTGTATCTAAGATTTACTAAGTTAGAATCACTTGAAAAAGAACAGTACAAATTCTAATGATAAATCTTGAATATACTTGGTAAATTTAAAATTTACTAAGTTCATATTATTAGAGGAAAACTGTACAAAATCTAATAGTAAATCCTGGATATTCGTATTAGTATGAAAAAAATGAAAAATCTAATGGTAAATTCTGGATATACTTAGTAAATTCTGAATTTATCAAGTTCGTATTATGAGGAGAAAAGTGAAAAATCTAATGGTAAATCCTAAATATGCCTGATAAATCCTAAATATACCTGAAAAATCTTGGATATTTCTGGTAAATCTGGATTTACCAAGTTCGTATTATGAGGGAAAAAGAGAAAAATCTAATGGTAAATGCCGAATATACCTGGTAAATTCTGAATTTACTAAGTTCGTATTACTAGGGGAAAAGAACATTACATATTCTAATGGTAAATCTCGTTTATACCTAATAAATTCCGAATTTACTAAGTTTGCATTATTAGAGAAAAAGTGAAAAATCTAATGGTAAATCTCGAATATACATGGTAAATCTCGTATTTATCATATTCATATTACTAGGAAAAAAGTTAAAAATATAATGATAAATCCCAGATATACTTGATAAATCTTAGATTTACCATGTTCGTGTTACTAGGGGAAAAGAACACTGCATATTCTAATAGTAAATCTCATATATACTTGATAAATTCAGGATTTATCAAGTTTGTATTACTAGGAAAAATGTGAAAAATCTAATAGTAAATTCTAAATATACCTCATAAATCCTGAATTTATCAAGTTCGTATTAGTAGGGGAAGAACGCTAAATTCTGATGATAAATCTCATATATACCTGGTATTACCAAGTTCATATTAATAGGAAAAAAATGAAAAATCTAATAGTAAATCTCAAATATGAATGATAAATCTATGATTTAACAAGAAGGTATTTTTAAAATTTTAACTTATTATAAATCCAGATTTACATCACATTAACCTAATTATTAACTTTTCTTCTACATTAACCTATTAATTTTAATTCCTCACCTTATTTCTCTCGATCTCCCCTTCCAGACTTGCAATGTGTACTCCTCTGAATAATGATGCGAGCACTCCTGTCCACGTCCTTGAAAAGTCAATAATGACCTTATCTTCTTTTTTCTTTTTATTTGTTAACTTAATTTAGTACGTTATTCAAACTGAACTTAGCCTTCGTTGGTTTTTATTTTGGGAGAATTATACTCTAGTAGGCTGTGTTTTATTAAATAATTAATTGGCATCTTAAAATGTCCTCCATTTTTTTAAATAAAAACTCTAAATTAATACTTCAAAATTTTGAGAAATAACAAGAAATAAGAAATAAAAAAGATTTTATGCCCTTTTTATTCAAAGTAACGGGGGATTTTGTAATAACATTTTTTTTCCAGAAGAGGGCAATAGAAGTATACTCGAAGACTGTATTTTTTAACGCATGAAGAACCTACACAAATTTAGCTAATCAGTTAGGGTCTGTTTAGTTCATGACATTTGAAATTTAAATTTTTTATATAAGAAAAAAATATTATAGCATAATTAAATTTATAAATTTTAACGTGTTTATTTAAATTTTTTATATAAGAAAAAAATATTATAGCATAATTAAATTTATAAATTTTAACGTGTTTATTTAAATTTTTTATATAAGAAAAAAATATTATAGCATAATTAAATTTATAAATTTTAACGTATAAAACAAACGGATCTGAAAGAATATTGAGTAATTTGAAAAACCATCTGTATATTGAAGATTGACGACATACAAAGAAGAAAGCAAGTATCTATATAGTACATCAGTTAGCCTATTCTAGGAAACTATAACTAATGAATCAATTACAATCAATCAAAAGTCAAAGACGTGTAGATCTCATATTCTTTCCCGTAATACTCCTCCTCAAGTTGGAGCGTGTATGTTAAGGACGCCAAACTTGCTGAGAAGAGAATGAAAAACTGATGAATTGAGTGGTTTGGTGAACAAGTCGGCAAGCTAGCAAGCTGATGGAACATGGGCAGTCACTATGGCACCTGACTGAATTTGTTCCCGAACAACATGGCAATCGATCTCTATATGCTTGGTACGTTCGTGATAAACCGGATTTGCAGCAATGTGGAGTGCTGCTTCACTGTCGCAAAATAATTTGACTGGTTATGAATGCTTCGCCTGCAAGTCATCCAACAAGTATTTAAGCCATCTTATCTCACACGTAATCGAGGCCATAGCTCAATATTCTGACTCGGCTGAAGATCTTGATACCATCGTTTGTTTCTTGGTCTTCCATGAAATAATCGCTCCTCCGAGGAAGATACAATAACCAGTAACAGACCGTCTTGTGATTGAACATCGAGCCCAATCTGCGTCACAAAATCCCTTTAGTAGCAAGTTTCCTTTGGCTGGAAAGTACAATCCTTGCCCAGGTGCACCTTTAAGATATCTCAAAAGGTGATGAACAGCATCTAAATGGGGTTTTCTTGGCTCTTGCATAAACTGGCTTAGAATGTGAACTGAATAAGTTATCTCTGGCCTTGTAATAGTAAGATAAATAAGTCGACCCACCAATCTTCTATAAGTGGATGGATTCTTCAATGGTTCTGCCACTGTTGGTAGAAGCTTAAGGTTTTCTTCCATAGGCGTCGACAACGGTTTGACCCCAAGCAAGCCTGCTTCATCTAAAATGTCAAGTGTGTACTTTCGTTGTGATATGGAAATGCCACTAGTAGAACGAGCAACTTCAACACCAAGAAAATATTGCAATTGGCCAAGGTCCTTGATGCGAAATTTGGTATGAAGAAATTTCTTAAGAGCAACAATTGCACCATCATCGTTGCCGGTTATGATCATGTCATCTACATAGATAAGCACGGCTGTGAAAGAATTACTAGAGATCTTGGTGAAAAGTGAATAGTCTGCCCTCGATTGATGAAAGCCATCTTGCTGAATAACAGTAGAAAATTTTTGAAACCAACTACGAGATGCTTGTTTAAGTTCGTATAAAGACTTATTGAGTCGACACACAAGAGAATTCTCCCCCTGTCGACGAAGACCAGGTGGCATTTGCATATAGACTTCTTCGAGCAAATCTCCATGAAGGAAAGCATTTTGAACGTCCATTTGGTGAAGGGACCAATTTCGAACAGCAACTACAGCGAGTAAACAACGAACTGTAGTTAACTTGGCCACAGGAGCAAATGTTTCTTTATAATCAATCCCTTCGGGTTGAGTGAAGCCTTTTGCCACCAACCGAGCTTTGTATCTTTCAACTGTGCCATCGGAGTTATACTTAATCTTGTACACCCATTTGCATCCGATTGGACGATGTCCATATGGGAGGGGTGTAATTGTCCAAGTCTGATTTTGTTCAAGAGCTTGTAGTTCTACGGCCATGGCTTTTTGCCATTTTGGATCCAACGCTGCCTGTTCATAAGTCACAGGTTCCACAAGAGTAGTGACAGTGCAAACAAAATTTTGATATTTGGGTGAGAGTTGTGCGTAAGAAATGTACCGATGTAAAGGATGACGTGTGCCTGTCGAGGAAGAAGATTGACTGGAAGCAACCTTGGTCGTGTGATAAAGGTGAAAATCTCAGAGTTTGATGCTTGGTTGTTTGACACGTTCAGAACGACGAGAAATAGGAGGCAGAGATGGAACATCAGTGTCATGATTAACTGTATGCTCGTTTGAAGCGGACACAAGTGATGGAGATGAAGATGGACTGTCAATAAGTGGTTCTGTTGTGTCTATGGTA